CTCTCTCTCTCTCTCTCTCTCTCTCTCTCTCTCTCTCTCTCTCTTTCTCCTTGTGGTACTGGGGGATTGAAACCAGGGGTGCTTTTTCACTGAACTACATCTCCAGTCCCCACAATTGAAGACTTTAAAAAAGAGAAGTAACAAGAATATAAGAAGATATAAATTTGAGATAATAAACAGAGATGATTTTAGTGGAAAAATATCTCTAAGTATTTTTTCACTTTCAAAAAAAAATTATGATTGAGCTTCATGGTCACCTGAGACTTTTTTTCAAGCGCTGGTCTTTCTGTAGTCTTATAAGAGGTCCTTTAACCTCTACTTGAGGTAAGGAAAAAATTGCAACTCTTCAGAATGAAAATTGAGCCCATATATCATCTAAAACACCAGTTTTGTTATTTCATATTCAAAGCCTGTTTTAAAACATTTCAAGAATATTAAAAATACCACTTCATCATCTTCTTTTACTGTAATTTAGAAAGGCATCTCAGTGGTACTTCAAACTAATGTGAATGTTTATATCTCTTCTCCAAAAAAAGAGTTCGTGTCATATCTCATTACTACTTGCTCAAATGTAAATTTTTATTTTCTTTAAAGGTATATCTATGTAGCTGATGTAACAGATAAGAACATTCACATACTGGAAAAGCATGATAACTGGGATTTAACTCAACTGAAGGTAAAATACCCTAGCTTGCCCTACGACATGGCATGCTTAACCCTCACACTCCATCCAGGTGTGTGCTCCTTGACTGAAGCATCTATGTCTATTTAAGAGCAATGCTGGTGAGACTGTGCTTTTGCTTTGAAAGTGAAATAGCAAAGCCAATGCCAGGTTCAAGTTTCAGGAAGAGCTTGTAGGAGGTGGGGAGAATAGGAATGACACTGAAAATTATCTCCACAACTTCTTCTTTGTTGATAGGTAATACAGTTGGGCACCTTGGTGGATAACTTAACTGTTGATCCTGACAATGGAGATATTTTGGCAGGATGCCATCCTAATGCCATGAAGTTGCTGAACTATAACCCTGAAGATCCCCCAGGGTCAGAAGTAAGTGCTTATATTTCATTGAGCTCACAGGTAAAGTTGCAAGAATGAACAATTTATTGAGGTGATGTGGGTCATACTTGATGTTCCAAAACTGAACAAATTCTACAAATGAAAAGTGTAGAGATTTGGGCAGAATAGTCCTTTCACATCACCAGGTACCAATATAACATCAATGCCAGGCAACGTATTTCATCCTTGCAAGGGTTTGATTTGCTGCTGGGAGTAATGAGAAAACATGAGCTTAATTATTCACATAGATTCAAATTGCTGTATAGTGTTTCCAACCAAAAGGTGGGCTCTGAAAAGGTCCTCTGTTTAGGCAAAGAGAGAGATGAGTATGGTAGTATCTTCTTTCAGACTCCTTTACATGAGACTGAAATAAGAGTGTTTAAATGAAAGTCTCAAAATTAAATGAATTTTTGCTTGTAGATACAATCATGTCAAAGAATGTCTCATTTTAAAGGTTTTATTTGCATTATTTTTTTAAAAAAATCTCTTCTAGAACTGAGATTGTGGCTCAGAGGTAGAGCGCTCACCTAGCATGCGTGAGGCACTGAGTTTGATAGGATTTCTGTGAACAAGGCCTGGGTTGATGCCAATCCAATAACCAGGACACAGTTTTGAGAAAAAGGAAAAAGATTTTTTTGCTTTGCTAGCAAATGAGAAACACAGGGAACTCTAGTCCCAGAGGTGGTGATTCTGCTCATCAAAGGGAACAGAGAATTTTTAAAGAGGTGATTCAAAGGCTACATTCCAGGTATTCCCTGATGGTAGAGGGAAGAGGGTTGAAATTCACTTGCTAGTTTGGGAAAGAGAGAAAAGGGGGGAGGGAAATGTCCATTTTAAAATAAGTCTCAGTGGCAGAGCAGCAAGGACTATATTCAAAGCATGAGGTAGACCACTGTTAAGAATATTAAATACAGAGATCAGAATTGACCTCATTGAGAAGATATGGTTTGGAGAAAGATACAACATTTGAATACAGGTTTGGGGAGTTAGGAAACTGAGACTTAAATCCTAGCCTGGTAATTGGCCCAGTGTGTAAGTTAGAACATACAATTACTTCTGCTAAAGAATATTGCTGTTTTTCAGCTAAAACTATTTTCTTTTAAATTAAAACATTAGTCACTGCTTCTTAAAAAGAGCACCAAGATACAACTATAATGTAGCAATAAAAAAACATGGAGAAAATATAAAAAATTAAAAATTTAAAAATAAAATAAAACAACTAGGGGGGAAAAAAAGGAAGCACCAAGAAATATAAAAAGAAACTAAATTCCAGCCTGAGCTTCAAATCTGAAGAATCCTTACACTGAGCTAGCAAGCTATCTTTATTTCAGGTGTGTGTCCTGTGCCCGTGCCACTCCCGCCCAAGTGACAGATATAAATAACTTTGTGACAAAAGTCCAGCCACAACATCTGCCTTACGGAAGTGCAAATAGAATCCATAGAATGATTGGGAAGGAGGACCTTTTTTCCCATCTCTGTTTTCAAGTTTGAGCACTTGTTTGTTTTAGATAAGGTTTATTTCTTCACAGTTGCTGACACCCTTTCCTTTCGGTAGAGTCCTCCTCCCCTTTTTTTTTTCTGTGTAAAATCCAAGCTTGAGTGAGTGCTGTGTAATAAACTTGAGATGAAGTTGCAGGATCTTCCTTAAGATGAAACAAAACGAAACCCTAAACTCTGTTTTAACAGGAGGTATCTATGTAGACTCTTCACTCACAAATTTCTGATTGTTTTCCTTTAGTTTCTGTCATGTTCTGCTTAAATGAACTTTATCCAGGCTGTTTGGAAACCTGAGTGCTTATTTATTTACTGATTAGCAAAGTTAAGGATGTTCACCCTGAGCATCAATAACAGCACTAGTCACTAATATATTAGGTGGGATTCCAAAGTAGTCTGCGTTCTTTGTGCTCCAGAGCCACCTGGGAGATGTGAAGGGGTCCAGCCATGATGACTGCCACCTACCACCCCCATACCAGATTGACTTCGGTGGCCGACTGGGGTTTCCTTTTCTGTTTTGTCCCATGTTCTCTTCCTCATGCTTTAGGATCAAAGGCAAGACCCTCCCCAACAGAAGGAAAACCACTGCCCACTTGCAAGTTAGATAAGAGTGTTCGCTGGGTCTAACCTCCTTCTACAGGGGACGACTAAACTACCACCATTTTTCAAGCTCTCTATTGAATAATTTGGCTAATGTTAGATAAGCAATCCATTTTATTATCTAGATATTCTTAGGACATTAATGCTATTGTCAGAAGATGGAAGATTATTTAATATATACAGATTTGAGCCTATTAATTTCTGAAAAAAAAATTTTTCCTGGTATATTTGGAAAAGAAAATATCACTAGATAGCCATTTGCCCGTATAATATACTAATGAGTGATCTTGTCTTGACAGGTGCTACGCATCCAGAATGTTTTGTCTGATCAGCCCAGGGTGAGCACCATCTATGCCAATAATGGCTCTGTGCTTCAAGGGACCTCAGTGGCTTCTGTATACCATGGAAAAATTCTCATAGGCACAGTGTTTCACAAAGCTCTCTACTGTGTACTCTAAATTGCAGGTATTCCAAAGGATCTACATGTTTGATGAAAGTAAACCTGCCATTATATAATAAGTTGAACTGTAAACAAATAATACATACCATCAAAGGTGTGCCTTGCTTTTCTTATGGCTAGAGGTGAAAGAACAGAGGTTGATTACATAACATCCACCAAATCTCAAGCCACCTTTTTTTTTTGCCTTTATTTTTTTTATTGGTTGTTCACAACATTACAAAGCTCTTGACATATCATATTTCATACATTAGATTGAAGTGGATTATGAACTCCCAATTTTACCCCAAATGCAGATTGCAGAATCACATCAGTTACACATCCACAATTTTACATAATGCCCTATTAGTAACTGTTGTATTCAAGCCACCTTAATCACAGTCCAGCTAGAAGTCAGACTGCTCCACTCTTCTTCACGCATCCCCAATATCATTATACAGTAAAATGCATGGGCTGTGGCCATGGAGGGCTCCAGCTCATTTATAGCCTCTTAGGATCTGTGTAACACAATTGCCTCCTACAAGCTGTGATATTCTGAGTCTCCTGCAGTCCAGATCAGGAAAGAAGCTAATGTTCAAGCATTTATAATTCCTGTTCTCTCCCTCCAAATGTGTGTGGCACCAAATGTTACTCAAGTGTCCCAGTCTATAGCAAAAAGCAAGAACTGCATCATGAGACTACCCAAGGCCCTGCTTGAACGTGCATTCTCCCCAGGAGACACACAGGGAATCTGATTCTGGGAAATCTGACAGAGCAAAGCCTCACTGGCTACCTTAGGGCAAGGACAGGGGTAATGTATTTACCTGTATGAGGTCACTATTTGTGCCGATACCTGTATTTCAAGTGTTCCTGAGCTGCTTGGCTCTGAACCATGAGATGAGATCTCAGGGCACTTGTTTTCCACTGCTCTCAGCTTGCTCTACAGGTTAATTCAATAAACACTTATTAAGCATCCTCCTACGGACGTGGCACTAACATCTCTGAAAAAGTCACATGGTTCTGACCTAAAGTCCTATCTTAAGAACCAATCCAACCTTAGTTTGATAACAGTAAACACAAGCATCCCTTTCTTGTTTACAAAACAAAAACCAAGACAACCTTTGACAAATCATTAAAGAGAATCTGTGAATCAAGCTCCTTATTAAGCAGGAGGTTGGTCGATGTTTTTTCTCCTCCCCTGGGAATGGGGAGTTGTGGAGACCTCTTTATATCCTAAAGAACATTGCTCAGTTAGACGTAAGTTTTGCTGAAAAATTTTGTAGCAGAGTAGATGGTAAGACTTTGTAGTTTTCATTAAGAGAGGAATGGCCCAGCATAATATTATAGTGAGTCATAATATTTTAAGTTTCAAAATCATAGCCACCAGGGGACAAGAAAAAATAGAAATTAAGGGCATATATACAATAATGTTTATTTGTTTGTTTTTTTCCCTTATCTTCACACCCCCTAAATTACATAGCTTACCGGACTAGGACAGAATGTAGAGTATCAGTACTGAGAGGACTAAGAGAATTGAGATATTGGTGGGTTCCTGTCAATTGACTCTGCCCTGCCTTCTCCCCAGTTAGGAAAATCTGGGTGATAAAAAATCTCCCCAGAAGTTTGAGGGATCTGATTTCTGAAAGTCACTATGTCCTTCCTTGGGCAGTACTTGGGAAAGTAACAAAGTCCTGGGGTTTCCCTGTGACCAGTCCAGTGCTAAAGCAGATAAGAAATGCCAGTATAGTTCACTCGGCATGGCAGAGAAGCTCTGAAAAAGCATCACAACATTACCTGCACTCAGATTGGCACAGAAGCAAGCAAGTTTCCATGTGCCCAATAGGGAAACGGGTATTAGCAGAGAGAGAACTAGGATCTATAAAGGACTTCCTATCAGGGCAAAGATGGGTAGGCATTTGATTAGAGTGAAGACAGGAAATTAGATGGTAACAACAAGGATCAAATGTCTCCTATGAAGCTACAGCTCCACAAAGCCTCCTAGGATTTAGACAAAACTCTAAGGATTGGCAGGGAACTGTGGAATTGTCTTATAAATTGATTTCTGCAGCCACTCAGTATGGGGACTCAAAATTAAAATTACATGAGGCTACGGGGGAAAAAAAAGTAATTTCTGATATACTTTATGGTTTTAGCTTTTTCAGAGTTGGAGCAGTACAGAGGAGAAAAGACAGAAGTCTTTAGCTAATGGACACATGGTTGCAAACTTTCGTTGATTTTTCTGTAGCTAAAACCAACTGGCTACTAACCTGGATGCTTCCTGAGATGCCAATGGAAGACCCAGCTCCAGTTAACCTCTTGTACACTTTGCCCCTGACTCACTCTCACTCTTGAGGCATTGAGTTCCTCTCACTCATGTGTTACCATTTCAGAAGAGAGCCTGGCAAGACGAAAGCTTGGGTTTCACCTAGATTAGGCAACTTACCTCTTCTTGCCATAGGATAGGAGTGTAGGTTGCCTCATTATCATCCTCTCTATGCTCTGTTTCTTTCTGAGGAGGAGGCACCATGTTTAATAGTCCTCTTGCCTGGACAGTCATCCAAACCAACTTCCCCTTCTTGTGAACAGTCCCATCTTTCATGTGATTGCTTTGTCCTGAGCCTCTTTATTAGGCTTGAGAAGAACTTCACCATGCAAACAATGACTTAGTTTGATGGTTCCTTCTCTTTCCTTCCGCAGTCTTTCTGCATATTGTCAGAGATGTAGGTTGGTGATACTAGCCTTATGATTGGAGGTAGCTGAACTCTCTCAGGAGCCTTGCATAATGAGTGCAATATTTGCCTCCAAATGATTTCAACTATTTTTAGGATATGGGATATACATGGTGCTATGTTGTTTTTTATCTCTGAGGCCTTAGATGCTATCGTCATAGGAACATTCTCATTCTACATTCATTTTATAGCTAAGAGGTTTCAGTTTCAGGTGGCAGAAACCACTCTACTTAGTTTAAGGAAAAAAAAAGTGATCAAGTGCATCAGAAAGTTCACAAAATGCCTGAGTATTCCCATTAAGACTGGGAGTAAGACAGGATTCTCATCCTGACTGTTATTTTACATAGGATCAGAAGTCCTGGCCAAAGCTGTAAAACAAGAGAATGATTAAGAACCGTAAATATTGTAAAGGAAGATATAGAACACTCATTATTTGTGGTGACAGGATCATTTTCTTAGAAATAAAACAATAGAATCAAGAGATAAAACACTAGAATATTCAATAGTGTTGTCGTATATAAGTCAACCTACATAAGCAATGATTAACTATAAATTTCAATCAAAGACAATCTATCAGTCAAAATGACAAGCAAAAACTATATAATATCCAAAAATAAATAAGTTAAGAGTGTACAAGAACTTATGGGGAAAAAAATCAAAATTTTAATAAAAGTTTTGTGTTACTCAAAATGTATTACTGTAATAAAATACCTGGGAAGATCAACTTATAGGAAGAAAGAGTTATTTTAGCTGATTGGTTTCAGAGACTTTAGTCCATCGTCAGTGGCCTCCATTGCTGTGGCCCACGCTGAGGAAGAACAGCCTGGTGGAGAAGGCATAGTGGAGCAGAGTTGCTCACCTCATGGTGCCTGGAAAGCAGAAAGAAAGGGAGGGACAGGGAAGGGCCTGGAAGCAAGATACACTCTCACAGGGCACATCCCCAGTGACTCACTCCCTTTATCTAGGTCCCTCCTAGGGTTTACAGCACCTCCTGGTAGTCCATGCTATGAGTCCGCCAATGGATTAGTCCACTGATGAGGCTGGAACCCTCACGATCCATTCATCTTCCCAAAGGCCCCACTACTGCATTGGGGAGCAAACCTTCAACAATGAACTTGGAAGACATTCCAGATCCAAACCATAATAATTCTAGAAAATACTCTGAATACACAGGTATATATTTTAGGATCTTGGATAAAGTAAACTTGTAAGGATGTAAATTCTCTCCTAATTAGTCTATGAATTCAAAATCCAATAGGAAATTTTTAGGATAAACTTATTTATAGTTTACAAGGAAATTTTTATTTCTTGTAATACAGTAGGTTAAACAATTAAAAACCAAACTGCCTGATTAAAACAGCAAAAGATGTGCCAGGTACAGTGGCACATGCTTGTAATCCCAGCAGCTCACAAGGCTGAGACAGGAGGATTGCGAGTTCAAAGCCAGCCTCAGCAACAGCCAGGCGCTAAGTAACTCAATAAGATCCTGTCTCTAAAATACAAAATAGGGCTGAGGATGTGGCTCAGTGGTTGAGTGCCCCTGAGTTCAATCCCTGGTATCCAAAATAAGTAAATTAAATAAAATAAAACAGTAAGAAAAATAATAGATAAGAAAAATTTAAAGTATTTTAGAAAGCATTAAATATCTTACAAGATTAAATGGAATCACCAAGACACAATTTGAGTGAAAGCAAAAATTTCAGAGATTCAAGTAGACTTGAATCATGTAGACTTTACCTTGCGAGCTTCTTCTGAACTAGTTAAACTCAAGCTTTGGAAATTAAGGTCTCGTGGGTGAAGGGGGTCAAAAGTTAAATCCTAAGTCAGTCTGAAGAGCCTAATAATGGATCACCTTCTATTACCCCAAAACCTTGTAGCCCTAAAGAACTAAATATCCAGCTCATGTTGAAATAAGTGTAAACCAGCTCCATATTCTACTCCCAGAAGCATAAAAAGAGAGGTGTCTTGGCACTGAGAAAAGCAGAAGAAAAATATTTAATATTTCTGAAAAGTGACAACCGTGTGCCTATCATCACTCAAACTTTGAGCCCAAATTCCCACTAATTGGTCAAAAAAGAATTTCAAGCTTTGAGAAATTGAGAGTTGTGGCTGGAAGGAGTAGCAGGGAGGGAGGGATGCAGAAAGGTTGGTCAATGGTGCCAAGTTACAATTAAATAGAAGACGTTCTTTGTTCTACTGCATGGACGGGTAACCTTAGACAACAACAGGGCACCCTCTGTTTCAAAAAGGTAAGAGAAAGGAATTTGAATGCTTTTGCCATACAGAAATGATACATGTTTGAGCACAGAGACATTTTTACCCTGCATTAAATATTACATAATGTATATGTGTATCAAAACATCAGATGGCGTCCCATAAATATGTACAGTTTTTATGTTTTTACATATCAATTTTTTTAAATCTCAAGCTGTGAATTTAGTGTCAAACTGTGATAGGTTGGTACTGTCACTACTCATCTGACAGGAATGAACACAAATCCTCTCTGGATTTTATTCTGGGTTTCAAGAAACCCCTATAAATAATTTTGCAAGGAAAATGAGCAGCAGTTTTCAAAGAATAAACAAAGAAATAAGGTAACATAAACGAGAGCCAGTGGAAAACAAATGACAGCCGAAATAGACTCGCAAACATTCCAGATTCTGAGATGACAATGCATACATTTGACAACTCTACTTAAAGCATTTAAAGAAATAAATGATAAGCTTAAACTCAGGGAATAGTAAACTGTTAAGAACTGACTTGATAGATTTGGAAATATCAAACTGAACTTTCAGAAATGAAAATGAAGCAATTGAAATGGAAAATTTAATGGATAACCAGGAAACTTCTTGAGGAGGCATATCAGCTTGAAAAAATGGTTCAAAAGTGCATTCACAAAGTGCCTCAAAGTCTTAGAGAAAGTTTTCATTATTTACTTGGAAAGCAACACAAGGTATTTCTCCATTGGAAAGGCTGGTAGGAATGGGTGACTTCTAAAACCCTGACAGCTCCAGTCAAATGCCTAGAGGTAGTTACTCAATGCTTATTACTGTACTTCTTAAAGGTGGATAATCCATTACGTTGTATTAGGGCACTAAGGACAAAAAGAATGGAGGAAAAACGAGAGGGAGAAAAAGGCAAAACTTAATGGATTTAATACATAAGGCAGATCTGAAGAGATACATTATGGAAATGAGAGTTCATGAGAAAGTAAATTCAATACAAATCAGAGAAACTGAGGGATGGAAAATCTAAAAGGCTCATGGAGGTTAAAGTGAAAAGATCTAACAAATGAAAAATTGGGAACCCATAAGGAAAGGGGAAAAATTGAGTTAGGAGAACTTTTTAAAGTAATAATGCAAAGAAATAAAAATTTACACCTTGCCACATCTTAATGACACTGTAGAACATCAAATTCAAAGACC